TTTATGTGAGACCTAAGCAAGACTTTGTAATCCGTAATACTTATTATTCACAATTACTGATAGCTTTTGGATTTGTCCAAACCAAAAATGTAAATTATAGCTCATCTCATTTTAGTAGTTTCTCTTTCTGAAAAGAAAAGTTGATAGAAAATTTACCTATAATTTCCCCATTAAATTAGCTTTTTTTCTTCCCTCCATTCGATCACTTGGCTAACTTCAACAGTATCAAGATTCCTGATATAATCTCCATTTTGAACCTCAAAGACTGAAGTATGAAATTCTTTATTTGGGAAATGTCACTTCCAATATCTGTCATTACCATTTAGAAAGTTTTATGACTGCAAGATTTCCTGTTCACTTCCCTCAAGTCCAACATTATTGCTCAGTAGTGAACAAAAACAGAATTAATGATAATTTGGTTCCACAGGGGCTAAAATCTACATATTTCAATCTTTTAAGAAGAGCTTGGCTTCTAAGTTTAAATATTGGGAGGGGAGGAAGAGAGGAAGATATTTTAGTTTCGAGTGAGCTTTGTTAATTGTGAATGAGTCCTAACTGTTTATTGTGGGGACTTAGTTTTGAATTCACTTTGTAATCATCTACTAGTAAAACTGCCTCTTACTCACTGGGACCTTCAGCAGGTCAGCTCTACAATTCAGCCTTCACTGTTTTTTGTTTTCTTTCTCTCTCTTTTAATAGACTTTATTTTTTAGAGCAGTTTTAGGTTTGCAGCAAAATTGAGCAGCAGATACTCTAGAGATTGCCAGTACGCCCCTTACCCCCACTCTGCATACCCTCCTGCCTTATCAGCGTGCCTCAGTGGTACAGTTTTTACAAGTGGGGAACCTACACTCACATGTTGTTATCACAAAGCCCATAGGTGTTGTACATTCAGTGGTTTTGGATAAATGTACAATGTCACATTTTCACTATTATAGATAACAGATAGTGTCAGACAGGGTAGTTTCATTGACCTAAAAATTCTCTGAGATCAGCCTCTTCATTGCTCTGTTCCCCCAGACCTTAGCAACCATTGGCCATTTTACGGTTTTCCTGCTTTTACCTCTTCCAGAATGTCATGTAGTGGGAATCACATACTGTATCGCCTTTTCAGATTGGCTGCTTTCACTTAAGCAGTCTGAACTTAATTTATGGTTCTTCCGTGTCTTTTCATGACTTGCTAGCTGATTTCTTTTTAGTGCTGAGTAATACACCTGGATGTCTGGAGTGTCTGGACAGACCAAAGTTTATTTGTCCATTCACCTCTGACAGACATTTCGGTTGCTTTCAAGTTCTGGCAATTATTAGTTAATAAAGCTGCTGTAAACATCCCATGGGCAGGTTTTTGTGTGGACCTAGGTTTTCAACTTAGTTGGATAAGTACCAAGGAGCACAATTGCTGGATCATATGAGAGTATATTTAGGTTTGTAAGAACCCGCCAGGCTATCTTTCAAAGTGGCTGCATGGTTTTGCATCCCCACCAGCAGTGAATGAGAGTTCCTGTTGCTCCACATCCCTGCTAGCAGTTGACGTTGTCAGTGTTCCAGTTCTTTTGCCACCTAATGGACTTGTGGTGGTATTTCATTGTTGTTTTAATTTGCATATTCCTGATGTCATGTAGAACATCTTTTCCTGTACTCATTTTCCATCTGTATATCTTTTTTGGTTGAGGGGACTGTTACAGTGTTTGGCCCATTTAAAAAAAATTTTTTTTCTTATTATTAAGTTTTAAGAGTTCTTTATATAGTTTGGATAACAGTCTTTTTATCAGATGTGCCTCTGCAGATATTTTTGCCCAGTCTGTGGCTTGCCTTATCCTCTCATTCTTTGGAGGCCTCACAGTTTTTCCATTTGTAAAATTAGGACTTGTATTATGATGTTGAGTGTCCATTCCATTTTGGAAATTCTGTGACTGACCCATTTCCTTTAAAATATTACAACAGTTCAGTCTTCTACATATTCACAATTGTTTCTTTGACTGATGGGGCCATCAGTTGCCTCCTGCTGGCAACATTTGTCTACTTGGAAAGGATTGGAGTTGAGTGGACTGGCAGGGGCTCTTTCCTTCCTGTTATTCCATTTATGTTAACACCTAAAGCTTCTTCTCAAGATGATTCCCATCCTTCCTGCCATCAGAGGTAATACAGTTAGGACTAGATCAATGGTAGCTGATGAGTGCTCTTCTCTTTTGGAACTGTCATTTGGTCAGAATTAGCGATACTGTTGTATTCAGCTACTGTCAGCTGCAGGTTCTCCCAAAGGTGCTCTTCAGTTTTCATATTATCTTGAATTTCATCCTTTCTCGTCTTGCCGTCTCAGATTTTATGCCAGTTTCGGGGCATCATCTCTTCCTATACCCTAAATGAAATTTAGGGTATGAAGTATTCATATTTTCGTGTTCACGGTATTTTCTCCCTATGCTCGTTTTACCCGTATCTAAAATGATACCGTGCAGTAGTTTCATAAGACCGTGCATTCACTGCTTTACCACTATGAAGTGCTTTTGCAGATGCCGATTCATTTGGAATCTCATGATAAACTAGATAGATAAGTATTTTCTTAGTTTGACAGGTGAGACAACAGGTTTGGAGAGATTAAGTAATCTGCTCAAGGCTGGGTCACTGACATTGAAACCCATGTTGCCTGCCTCCGAGAACAATGTGCTTCCATGTACAGAATTTAATAGCTGGGACCTCCTTTAGCTGTAAAAGAGCTATACAACCAGTTTGTTTTCTGCTAGGGTTATGGCATCCTCGGTCAGAAGCCAGACAACTTTTGTTTCATATGTGACTGGTTTATACCCACAGGTACTTTGATTGTCCCAAGGAGGGTCACATCAGTTCAGTAGTGTCTTGCCTTTATTTTTTATTTATTTATTTTTAAAAATATTTTATTTATTTATTTGACAGAGAGAGAGATCAAAAGTAGGCAGAGAGGCAGAGAGAGAGGAGGAAGCAGCCTCCCTGCTGAGCAGAGAGCCTGATGCGGGGGCTCGATCCTAGGACCCTGAGATCATGACCTGAGCCGAAGGCAGAGGCTTAACCCACTGAGCCACCCAGGCGCCCCAGTGTGTTGCCTTTAAAACACACACACACACACACACACACACACACACACACAATACCTTATGTTGTATTGAGTGCTTACTATATACAACGTCTGTGTTTAGCACTTTCAAAAAACCTTTTTTCAGGAGGAAAGAAAACAGACCTAATGAAAAGTTCATAATAAAATTAATGTATAGCTTAATGAATTGGTATGATATAAATACTCATGTATTTGACAGGTGAGATTCTTGTGTACGGTGTCTAGTCAGTACACTAACTTTTTGATACTTCTTTTCTTGTCTTTATGATTTGTCTCCTAAATATGCATTTTTAAACACTATAGTTTGCCTGGTTTGAGACCTGATATAATTGGAATTACAGAATATGTGCTGCTTTTACCCAGATTTCGGTTTTGCCCATATTGTTATGCATAGTCATAGTTGGTTTTTCATTGCTATCTAGTATTCTATTGCAGAAATATGCCACAATGTATTCATTCTGCCATTAGTGGACAGATGGCTTTGTGTCCAGTGTGTAGCTATTATGCTGGTAGGAACATTCCCATGTCCTTACTCTGGTACATATCCAGCGATTGTTTCTTTTGGGAAATACCCAGAAATGGAATTATTACTAGGTTGTGGGTTTCTTTATTTTCAGTTTTACTAGATATTGCCTAACTTTTTTCTAAGGTAGTGGTAACAGTTTATATTCTCCCAGAAACATATGAGCATTCCCATTGCTCCATATCTCTTTGACGTTTGTTATTATCAAACTTGAGACATTTTAGCTGGTATAGTAGGAGTGCACGGTAGCTCATTGTGGTTTTAGTTTGCATTTCCCTTGCTAGTAATGGGAATACCTCTTCATGAGTTTATGAGCAATTCGTGATGTGTGAGTCTCTTACAGATTTTTCTATTGCGTTGTTTCTTTTCTTATTGACTTATGGTAGTTCCTTATATATTTTAGATATGAGCTCTTCTTTTTTTGTGTGCTTGTTATAGATATTTGTGTGTGTGTGTGTGTGTGTGTGTGGCTTGCCCTTACACTCTAAATGGTGTCTTTTATTTTTTTAATCTTTAAAAAGATTTTTATTTATTTGTGTGTGTGAGAGAGAGAGAGCATGCACAAGCAGGGAGCGGGGCAGAGGGAGAGAGAAAATCTCAAGCTGACTCTATATTGAGTGGAGGCTGACGTGGGGCTTGATCCCGCAACCACGAGGTCATGACCTGAGCCAAAATCAAGAGTTGGATACTCACTCAATTAACTGAGCCTCCCAAGCGCCCCTTACTGGTATCTTTTAATAAACAAGTTCTTAATTTTAATATAATGAAATTTTATAGCATTTTTTTGGTGTAACTAATGCTTTCTGTGTTTTGTTTATGACACAAAGTCATGAAGATAATCTCTAATATTATCTCTTAAAAGTTTTACTGCTTTACCTTGAAAACATTTCACATTTAGATTTCTTTTTTTTTTTTTTTAAAGATTTTTCTTTATTTATTCGACAGACAGAGATCACAAGTAGGCAGAGAGGCAGGCAGAGAGAGAGGGAGAAACATGCTCCCTGCTGTGCAGAGAGCCCAATGCGGGACTCGATCTCAGGACTCTGAGATCATGACCTGAGCTGAAGGCAGAGACGTAATCTACTAAGCCATTCAGGTGCCCCTCACGTTTAGATTTCTTAAGAGCAGAAATTATTAGGTTACTAAATATTTGTTGATTAAGTGTAATTAGTAATTAAGTATTTATAATAACTCCAGCTGTGTAAAAGAATCAGTGGAAGATATAAAGAGCTGTAAGATGTAGCCCCTGCCCTAAAATAATCTGCATTCTGTTTGTGGAGATGAGCCCCTTAGCAATCCGCATCATGTAGCACTGGACCGAGAATCTAGAGGTTTATATTCTATTCCAGAAGACTGGCTTTGTGACTTTAGGTAAACTCTTATCCCTCTTGAGGTCTGCATTTTAATTTACTTGTAAAATAAGGGGCTTGGCCTAAGTCTGTGGTTCCTGATTTTGGTTCTTCAGATGGATAAGGGTCTGAATACACAGCAGGTGGAAATTGTTTTTTTCTTTTTTAAGCTGAGAGAAATTATGCATTTTCAGCCGTGACCAGGTTGCACAGGCTAACCAAAATATCAAGTATCTTTGTTTGTTGTGGTGGTGGTTTTCTTCTTCAGGTATCTTTGTTTTTTACTGGAGTTGTATGTCCTTTCTGTTTGAGAACAGCGTGGGACAGAAAGAAGCTCTGATCTACAACAAAAGTCTTTAATTTAGTTTAAAAAAATAAACTTTGTATTTATTGGTAATTGTAGTTTAGTAGACAGTTTAAAAAAAACACAACCATCAGACATCAACCAAGAGACCAAAGAGTGATAGGCAGAGGTAGGGGGAAGGTATTAAATAATAAAAAGTGTCCTCAGTGATGAGAACATTGGGTGACTATTAGTCTAATAACTTTTAAGGCCTTTTCTAATTCCAAAATATTATGAATCAATGAAAAGATAATATTTACTGCTTTTTATTACAAAGTACCCAAATGAATGATCTGGACAGCCAACATGACAGTTTGTGAAGAGGGATAGAAAACCTTTGGTGACTGGGATAGACAGAGGAGGAAGGCTACCAGGACAAGGTAGGATTCATCTGTGTGAAGGTTTCCTTTATATGTGGGTAGAAGCTTGGAAAGAAATTCCAGACAGAGCAATGAAAGAAGAGAGGGTCCAAGTCATTTTTAAGCACAGCAAATGGATCAGTTTAGCATTAGAAGGTGATGAAAAGGTAGCTTGAGGTTAGAGCACAAAAGGCCTTCAAACATAGGATTAAATGTAGACAGCTTTGAAAAAATTAACCCTTACTAGTATGATTGTATAGTGAGGATTCTAGCTCTTCTAGGACTGGAGGCTTGTGGATGGGCCGTTGACTTTAGGATGTCCTCCATGCTTTAGTATAAGGGCTGGCTGGCCCTTAATGACAGTTAAAAAAAAAAAATTAAGTATTTGAGAGATAACCAGTTAGATTGGGATTATGTTAACACCCGGAGTACAAAGCAGGAAACCTTATTTTACGGTAGCTGTCTAGCTGTATCTTTCTGAATTTATGTATGGAATGAATCCTCAGTAAATCCCAAGAACCTTCTCTCTGTGCTAAGAAATGGCTCATAAGTGGTGTTGAATTCTTTGTGAAACTCACCAGTCTCAACAGAATTTCTGGTTCTGGGAAAAAAGGATTTTCTCTGTTTAATTTCTGTAGAAAATAACCACTTATGAATAGTCCACTCTCTATGATGTGTAACAATGGAAAGAAATTCTTCTCTGGATGGTACAAGACAATGACTCATCACAAGCGATCTCTTAGAATTAAGAATGTAATCATAATACAGCCATAAATACTCATGTATACTTGCTTAGGCAGTTCCATTCTGCCTTCCTTTTTATTACTCTTTCTTACCCCATTGTGGTTTAGCCTGACTAATCTATTTGCAGCACATTGACATTCTTAGTACAAAACTTTTGCAGCCTCGGTTTGGAAAAAAAGAAGAGGTGTGGAAGTTTCAGCTCTGACACTGTTTCTTAATTTAAACTATGGTATTGATATATTTTTAAACAAAAAACCATAATAACCATTTTTGTTTGACTTTTCTAATATAATTTAATGAAGTAAGGTTATCTACTCTGGGCTTCCTCCATAGAAATAGCATTTAAACACTTAAAGGGGAAAGTTAAAGAGTACAGTGGCCTTGGGGACAGTGAGTGGGAACATGGTTGGCATAGGATTTCATAAACCAGCAGAGGAGAAAGGAGTCCCACACTAAACTGACACACCCCTGGTGATGTCATGGGCAAGTACTGGGAAGACGGGGGGTTTAGGTGGAAAAAAGAGAAAAGTCAGATTTGGGTGTTATCAGTAGATCTGGCACACATGACCCTCATTACCCATGAGAACATGACAGCCTAGGTTTTGACTTACCTCCATAGAGAATTTGAGTTGATTTTTTGTAGTTTTGCCTCTCTCTCTTTCCTCCTTTGTTTCTATTTAATCAGATTTAGAGTTTGCAAGGTTATAATAGAAAAAGTAAAGAGTTTGGAGTCAGAAAGTACTAGGTTCAAAATTCTAGCTTGCTGATAGGCAAGTTACTTAATCTTTCTGAGCTTCAGAATCATCGGCTATAAAATGGGATAATATTACTCATCTCTTGGGGTTTTTATAGGGATTAAACTAGAAAAAAAGGTGCTTAGCAATAAATCTTAGTCTCTTTTCCTTTGTCAATCATTTAGGCTTAAGGGTCGAATTTTCCGCTTGTTTTAGAATAAATCCAGGTTTTATGGTTACACCTCCATATTTTTCTTAAAAGTTAGGCTTTTTTATGTGTCTTCCTTTCAAGTTTTTTAAAGAGATTTGTTTATTTTAGAGAGAGAAAGAAACAGAGAGAGAGAGAGAGAGAGAGAGAGAGAAAACAGGGGAGAGGGGCAAAGAGATAGGGAGAGAGAGAATCCCAAGCAGACTGTGCTGAGCTTGGAACCTGATGCAGTGCTCAGCCTCAGGATCCAAGATCATGACCTGAGCCAAAACTAAGTCAGACGCTTAACCTGCTATTCCACCCAGGCACTCCTCTTCCTTCCAGTTTTTAAAACTGGGTTTTATATCTGCCAGCTCTGTTTCTTTGTAACATATCTTTCCATAAGTGATGTATTAGTTTTTGAAGTATTGTTGGAGGGAACATGGCGTGCATTTTTTTAACTGAGGAAGATTGAACAACTTAACAATGCAGTGAACTCATATTCTAAACTATCAGAGTGCCTAATGTCAGATTGCTAAAGGAAGTTATCTAAATCTAAAAATTATTATGGTCTACCACAGCATAATTGTGAGCCTTGGGGGTGGTGGGGGGCTATAAAGATATTTGTTGCCTAGGCCCCACCACCACACAAGTTGTGATTGAAGGTACATTGGCATGTGTACCTATGGACATTTCCCTGTGCCCCCCCCCCGCCATATACAGATATGTTGATTTGAATTGATGAGGAATGGGAGAAGGGTTTTGAAGAGAAAACAAGCAGGCTTATATTAAATTCTAAGATATGTCATGGATATTTAATTCACCAAATGATTATTTTCATCCTTTTGCTTTCAGTAGGAAGCTGTTGCTATGATAGAGCCTGTGCCAAAGGGAACACTATGGGTTGAATGGGATACTAGTGAATTGTGGATGATAATCCAATTTTGAGGCCCAAGTCCCTAGTTCTAGGTTTTTTCTTTCAGTGAATTCACTGGTCTGCTCCATTGCTGGTGGCTGTGCTAGTACCACTATCAAATTAAGTCATTTGACTTGATGGTAATTGTATAATATTCCATAACAAGATTAATCGGAGACAAGGGGTTTTCTGTGAAAGTTGCTGTTTTCACTCTGGGTGGGGAGGAAACAGAACAGAATGCTGACTGTGCATTTTTTTAATCCAGCCCCTAGGTAAGTGCAGGGTCAAGATAGCCTGAGCAGAAATGCCTGTATATTGCAACCCCACCCTCGCTCCCAGGGCTTGACATTGAACCATTTCACTGGTGAAGCTTTTACACAATCAGTGTTCTTTTAATCTCTGGAGTCCCTTACTACTTCCCACTTTCAGGCTCTTTCCTCCTTCATTGTTTAATATAAAGAGCCTTTGTCTTGAGTATACTTTGAAGGTAGTACTTTGGAGAGGCTGAGTAAATGCTGGCCCAAGGCTGACCACAACCCTTGGTCATTGAGTGTACCTGGATTCTGCTTTTGTCTAGAAACCAAATCTGCCCATCTATCGAAGCTAGAAGGAAGCCTCTGTTGAACCTCTTTACAAACTTCCCTTCATTAAGTCCAGTTAGTTTCCTGTCCTGGGGATTTTACTTTTCAGATTGTATTGTTACAGGTGCTAATCCCCTTGTGCCAAAGACCCGGACTGTCTCTGAGCTCTAACTCATGTAGGTGCTGCTTTTTTTTTCTTTTGTTTTAATAATTAACTCTAAATGAGGTGTAGGGCGAAGTACTTCAACTTGAGCATAGTTCAAGGAACACTGTATTTATTCATAATCAGCTTACTTTCTGCTCCCCTTCCTTCCCCTACCTCTCTTTTGCTGTAGCATCAGGATTCTTTCTTGCTCAGATGCATTTCATTCCCCGAGTGTGTCTTCTTGGCCCCTCAGTGGAGCTTGATGCGCTCACTAGGGACTGTGGTGCTATCCATTTCAGCAGGGGCATTTTCCTGTGCTTGAAGGGGCTGGGTAACATGCCGGATATCCTACCTCTTTCTGGTGAGGCATCTTTCCTGGGATTATTTTTATATGCCGCTATAGAAGTAGAATGTTCTTAGGATTGTGATACTGTATGTTATCAAATGCAGCAAAATATAGTCACGCAAATAATATTTTGGGGAACGTGCCATATAAAGTATACCCTCTTGCTTATTACTCTCAGTTTGTGAAGTAGATGTTATTACCCCTATGTTAGGGATTAAGTAAGAGACTGGTTAAACCTGAACTCCAACCTGAACTCCCACGGTTAGTAAGTGACATGGCTGGGTTCAAACCCAGGTGGGCCGGGCTTCAGAATCAGTGCTGTAGGCACTGACCCAGTGAACTGGCCACTGGCTGCTTCTAGCATTCAGCTTCTGGCCTTTGCTGGATCTTTATTGTCTTGTGTCATTTCGGATTCAGTTTTGAGCCACTTGGGGCCTTGCTTTCCCATATACAAGTTTTAATATTGGCTGTAGTTCTTAATATTAATGTAACAGGATTGGGGCCCATGGTATGGTGGGAGTTCGTAGTTTGAAAATGAGTCTCTTCCATTGTTGAGGATCACTGTACTTGAGAATGGGTAAGAAAACTGAAAAGTGGAAAACACATTCCACATATGATTATAAGACTATTGTTGAAACATTAAATTCCCATTGAATAAGTGATCCTATAAAAAATACTAGTAGTGGAAGAAAGCATAGCCTTTTCAGTTTATTTATAATATGAAGTATGTAGACAGGTTGTTGGGGGTATACTTTGAAATATATTCAGAGGCATATTTGACCAGGAATGGTCTAGGGTGATTGTTCCTAAAAATAAAAAATAGGACTATACGACCTTCCACAATTCCTTTAGTTCTGGTTCACATCCTGTATGACGGACTAGTTTTATAGATAGGAAAGTGAGAAAATTTATAAAGAGTCTTAGTTTAATCTCAGACTGATTTCAGCGTTGTTCATTCTGAATTACGTAGGTTGCCCTAACTTCTTCCAAATATTTCTTTCTTCCTGTTGTCTTGAAAAAAATATCACTTCCTTTTCATTGAGCAGAGTTCTTATGCTTCTGCAAAATTCATGTTTCACCTGGTATGTGCTTTATTTCCTTGAGGGAATGGTAGCTTCATGAGGTTTCAAAGTCACTGATTTAACGGGACTGGAAAATAGGATCTTTAAGTCAGTTTAAGTAACAACAAATGGCTGTATGGCAAGGATGGTAGTCATTTTCATTGTTCTTTTTTTCCCCTTGTAAGTTGGAGCCTTTTCATTGGATACTTGCATCTTGTTTTAAAGGACATTTTAATCTGAAACCCACTTCATTATATAGCTTGGCCCGAGTTGCAGTTCTCTGGGACTCCAGCATTAGCTCGTGGTTAGTATGTGGAGGGCTGCATTCCTTACAGTTGGGCTGTGGCCATGGCCGCCATTCTGAAAATTTCCACTCTTAGAGAGAGCTGGCTGAGTGGAACAGGCATCTCTCTGAGTTGAGCTGAAAAGTCTGTGTAACGAAGACTCAAGAACTGGACACCGTTTTTGGAGGGCCTTGTGATTTCAAAATGATCTTGTTTATTTCATTGTTCTACCCATCATATTTGTTGGCGAGGGAATGCATCAATGAAAGAAAGGCAAATAGAAACAGAGGAAAAGAAGAGAGAAAAAACATGGATATGTATAATAGTGTTTTGTTTTGTTTTTGTTTTTGTTTTTAAATAAGGAAAATTCTCTTTTGGTCTTCACTCTTGCAATTATAATTGGGCCAGTGGCCTGGTAGCAGAGCAGTCTCTAGTCTTGCTAACTCGTTGATCATGGTAGCTCTCTCAAAGCTAGATATTGACCAGATTGCGGTTTTATTAGATTTGGCTGGATTATAGCAAGCACTGAATCCTGTACAGAAATCTCTCTGAAGAGATTTGGCCTGTTAAGCTCAAAATAGAAGCCCCAGTAGAGTGTCTTTGAGGAAGGGCATTTTGTGGATATTTGCTATATGAACTGCTTTTCCAATGATGTCTTTTCTTTTTTGATTTACTACTTACGCATAGAATCTGGCTTAAAGTGAACTCAAATCCTAGGTGACTTATTTAACCTCTGTGTGCCTCAGTTTCCTCATCTGTAAACGGAGGCCAATACTTGCACCCAGCTTTACGGTAGTTAAGAGGATTAAAGGAGATAATGCATCTAAGTGCATCCTTTGTTCATCCTTTGTTTTAATATTCTGGGTATTATCTAGTGAAAAAGGAGAAGTCATTGTACAATCTTTTAAAAACATGATCTTAGAGATACAGTAGGAAAGACACTGGCTTGGGACATAAGAATTTTGGGTCCTGTTCCTGGCTTTAACAATCATCTAGTTGCCTGACACTAGGCAACTCTTAGGGTTTCCTTGCCGATGAAATTGTGGTAGCTATCCTAGATGTCTCTAACATGCCTTCCTTCCAATGTTTAAGTCTTACGACACTAAGTTTCACTAGAAGTCTTTGGTTTGGGGCCGTTTTATATCCCATTGCCTGAAGCCTTCTCTTCTTACTGCCCAGTACAAGTTGGACCCAAGCTGCTGG